AAAAAGCATACTGGGGGCAGACAATCCGTACAAATGGGCTTATTCCCTTCTCTCCAAAAAGGCAGTTAGAGCATTTTGAATTCTTAACAGTAATTTTCACAGAACCTTTCAATCCTACCACCACCACCCTCCCAGAACACCTTTTCTCTGTCATGAACCGCATGGGTGATATTCCATGCTTTTAATCGGGTGCAGAACCTCATGCCCAGGGGCCAAATCTGGCCTTTCTTGGCTTCCCTGACGACCCACCCCTTCTCCTTGCTCCACCTCTTTTCTCCAGTCACCAGTCACAGGGTGGTTTCCTGGTTTTTGTTTCCATTCCCATTCTGAAAGGTTGAAATGCCTCTCCTACGGTTTGCAGACTTTCAGTAAGAGCCAAAATGCTGATTTGGGGTGGGGGGTTTCTTGTAGTTTTGGCCCTGTTGCGCCATTGTCTTCAGTCTCATCTACCACTGGAATGTTGCCTCTGATAGCATTCCAGAAACTGAACTTAGCCCTTGGGCTGAAAGAGGTTCAGACTTCTAGCATGGAAAAACAACCCTTACTCTGCCGCTAAATAAATATTCTGGCACAGAGAAAAGGATACACACTTGTCCTTGTAGGCTAAAACATATTTCAAATGGAACAAGGAAATACGTTGTTTGTTAAGAACATTTGTGAGTTCTCCCAGGAAGGTAATCTGCTAAGATACAAAGTGAGAAACACAAATGACTTTGTATGTCATAAGGTTTACTTTACTTATGTTTGGGAGTGGGGAGGCAACCTCCAAAACAGTGAAGGGAATTTGGAGAAAATTATGTCAAGTGGGGAGTGGGTGGTAACAAGAGGAAACTCAATCTTTTTTCAAGAAGACTTTTTCAGAAATTTTGGCTCAGCTCCAGCAGTGTCTCCCAAACACTAGATTTGCGAGGGATGATTGTGGCATTGTGTGATTATGATTATAATACTTGTACTTCCCCAAAAGCTCTGTAACAGATATGCGAGAGCAGGGGGAGTGTTTTGCCTAGCATTAGGGACACGGTGGAGCTAATGCTGTGCCAGAACCATTCCTCTATTTCCCCAAAGCTTTATTCCCATGCAAGAGGCTTCCGCTCCTCTGTCTCATTCTACGGGGCTTTTCCTTTTGGTGGTGGCTCACTGCAAGATGGCCAAGGGCATCCCAGTGAGTAATCTGTGGCTCAGGGTATCCCTCTGCAGCCACCCAAGCTGCCTGTTCTGAAAAAGCCCTGGCGAGAGGAACATCCTCATGATCCAAGGAGGGTATATGCTTTTGGAGCAATGATTGTTCAGGGAAAAGCAGGACGTGCACAGACTCTTCCTGGCCATCTCAGGAAAGGTAAGCACAACACCCCAAACTCAACCCACTTGTTTTCTGTCACACTGGATGAGAATGGTTAAAAGGAACTACTGAAAGAAAAGGTTGGCACAGCACAGTTCTCTAATGTGGCTGCCCAAAACAACTTCTTTCAAAGTTTTTCAAGGACGGGTATAGTTATAAGAGAACTTCTGAAAATATGACCGCAATTTAGAATAAGCAGTGTGTGAAGGGATCAGTTAAGTCTTTCTCTCTGTATGAAAAATAAGTTACTCCACTGGTAGAAGCAATGATGGCACACAGTTCTGCTCCTAATTGCCATACTTTCTCATACTGGAACTTCAAAGAATAAGTGACTTCCCTTCCTACTTACCATGATTTCCTGTGAGACAACCCAAAATATATTCCATCTTGTAAGAAAAAAGCTTGATGTCCCATTCCTCTATTTTGTCCATACGGAATACAGTAGCAACATATAACCCCTTGGGAGACTCTCCTACCCTTACAAGGGTGTTCCTAATTCTCTTGGGATGACTTCCCACATCCCATACTTTCATCTCTTAAACCACAAGAGGCAGCCTTCAAATGAGACAGACAACCATCTGCATAACTTTGATGCCAAGGGCTTCTTCCCTGTAAGTTGTCCCATAAATGTAATACTTTTCTGTTTCAAAAGCCCTCTTAGGTTGATTCTGCCACAGAGTTACTGTCCACGTTGTAGAGGCTGTCTCAGCCTAGTGCCCTCCAGATGTTTCACGCTTCTTGCCCACCAGGGCCAGCCAGTATGACCATTTATCAGGCATACTGGGGGCTGTAGTCCGAACATCTAGAGGGTGCCAGGTTGAGGAAGGCTGCTACAATACAATCTGTACTTCTTGCAAGAAGTTTGTGGAATTGCTTTGTAAACTCAGGAATTAAGTAAACCTGGAAATTAAGGTAATATGAAGAAGGCATGGCTCTCACTTTGATATTTTCTTATGAACATAACTAGTTAGATATCCATGTTTTTTTCTTGATCTGAATGCAAACATGTTCTTCTAAATATCATAACTAATATGTATTTAAAATGTATTAGTCCCAATCTCTTTGGAGACTTCCATGCTAAATTACCCAACCATAGGCACAGTGTAGTGTAGAATGGGGTGCACTTCAGACACTTGCTCAAAGTGCATCACACTAGCATGATAGCCAGGAAATGCCCTCTGTTCTGGAGTAACCTCCTCCTCCTCCATAAACTTTGAGTCCTGTTCCTCTGCTGTGGTAAATACATAGCTCAGCATGTGCAGGGAAACTCCAATTTGAACGTTTTAGAAAAGCAGTGTAGTCAGAGCAAACAAGACAGGGAGCCTAAGCATTTTTCACTTTGGACTAAGTTAAAGTGAATTCAACAGGATTTGCTTTTGTGATTCCTCCAGATGAAACTAGTAGCATTCTGTGGCAGTAAGAACAAGGTAAGAATAAGATAGGACCTTGGATAGCTCCCAGTGGGTCTTGCAGCTTGATCTCTTACCATAGTGAAAGAAAGATGCCTTCTCAGCAGGGAACTAAAGCCAACCAAAGCCTTTATGTAGGCTGACAAAAATCTGTCGTGTGGTCAGCCTTATGCTTCTTTCAGGAACTGAACCAGTTATGAACCTCTGCTGCACAGTGGACCTGCCAAAGACTGGAGGTCATGAAAGCTTCCAACGAAAGGTTGTTGGTCTCACTCATGCTGCAGGGAGAGGGCACACTGAGCAAAAAGAACAATAGGCGTTTCTTAAAGTCCATATATATGATGACCCATTCACACAATCATTTATAGGACACAATAAGAACTGAGACAGGTCTTTTCAGTTTTGCCCCACCGAATAGGCAAACTGGCTGGTAATATTCAAATAATTGCTTGTATTTTGCAGTGTAGTAAACTGGAGTCAGGACAGTTGCCTCTGCAGGCTTCATTTCTTAAGAGTTAATCAGAGTGACAGCGACTTCTGACTTTATGCAGTTAAAAGGTCACAAAATTGAGGCTGCGTTACTTTCTGGCCAGCTTGTGAAACAACACGAGAGCTTGCAGCATCCACTCTTTGCAGTGCATTCCCTGATGAAATATCATCCAGCAAGAACATGCCATTGCAAAGGGTGAGTCAAACTGCATCTATGATGGTACATCTGGACTACTTGTCAAGCCATTGTTCCCATCGCAGGTGAACATACCCACCCCAGTTCAGTGTTAAGTAATGATGCCAAGATCGAAGGCCAACACGTCGGAAGTCCTCTGGAAAAATACACTTTAAAAAAAGACAAATGTTTTGTAAAGAAATGCAAAACATAGGCTGGGTTCACACATGATGACAAGCAACATTGCGTGGTTTCCACAGCATGCAGTTTTTTGCCAGGATGTGCCTACCGAACTACCAAGGCTTATCATGTATGAACCCACCTACAGTCAGGCATGCTAGAAAATCCAAGAAAACAGAATGCACTCCACTCCATACCGATTTCTTAGATGGCAAACACCATAATTCAATCCTATACATGAAATTAGGAAGCTAGAACATTGACCAGTCTATGTTTGAACTGAAACCCTTTCCTTTTCCAAAAGGAGTTTCATATGGTTTATGTAGATTTGCTCATTCATGCAAGAAAGAACAAAAAGCTAGATCTCTTTCAAGAAAGAAATGTTGAGTAGGATGACATCTAAACCTATGTGATTTAGAAGCATTAAGCCAATGTTTGAATGGATTTATTTTTAGATAAATTGATATGGGTCACTGTGTGTGAGAGAAAAGTTTCTTCAGTAGACATGGCAGAGTGCATTTGGAGAGAATATTTAGACAACAGCAGACTGGAAGAGATGTAGAACCTGCTTAGTGTAACACAAGTTGGCCTGATCTGATACTGTACTCATTTTATGTCGGTAGCTGTATCTTCAAATATAGCATCGCATAAAAACACCATGACTGCAATATACCCAGACTGGTAGTTTCTCCCCAACACTTTTGAAAAGGCCACATGAAGACAATGAAGGATCTTTGGGCAAGGATCCTTCATAAGGGGAAAATGGTGGGATGCTGCCTTCATTTTAATGGAGAGAAATCTCTTTAAAGGGGGCTCTGGAATACCTCCTTCTTAGGCTAGAAGTTCTAAAGACCAGTGGTATCTGGCCCTGAACTCCCATTGGACTGTCCAACATACTCAAATTTACCATTACAAGCACCCTAATTTTCTTCTGTGACAGATGTGAAAAAATTGAATCCCCCACAACTTCAAAATTACCAACATTTAAAGCAGCCTTCCCCAGCCAGGTGCCCTCCACATATATTGGACTACAGTTCATCCTTTCCAACCAAATGCAGTTGAACACATCTGCAGGACGCCACTTGTGGAAATCAGCTGATATCTGCCCATAGTTTATACCATCCAGCACTTGTGGAATACTCTGAAATCTTGCTGGTTGTTCTGGCCAGGTGCTTTTCTCCATATAATTTCATGACTAGTTTGGCTCAGCATTTGTTCGTTTTCAACCTCCTCGACTAGTTCTGCTGTTGTACTTGTGTCCTCAGCATGGTCTTTGTTATATTATGTTGAAATTATTTTGCCATGTTATTGATATACTTACAAAAATCAAGAAGATCATAATACAAAGGAGAGAGATTCGCGTTACCAAAAGTGAATTAAATTAGTAGTCATCTAAAAGGCAGAAAGGTGCTAATTTATAGTCTTTAATAAGATTTACCAACTTATTTGCTAAAAAGCCATCAATGCATTGTATAAAAATTTAAAACTTAAAACAATTAAAACCATTAAACACAGCAAAATATTAATGCTATACTCTTTACAGAGCTAAATCAAAACTAGGCATTTTTATCCCATTTCTAAAAACCAGGAGAATGGAGGGGAGGAATCATAGTTTTGTGGACGTGCATTCACAGTTTGGGAGTGACACAGGAGGAAACCCTTTCATGCATACACAACAAACAGGCCTCCTGGAGAATCCGAGGTGTTGCTGTTGCCCCAGCTGGATGCTTGGCACATCACACACATCCTTTGGCTCTGATTAAAACAACATGAATATCCATGACATTTGTGCCTGTCAGGCCTGTCATCAGAAGATGACGCCCATTTTGGAACTTGGTGAAGAACGTGTAGGAATCATTGTTCCTCAGAAAGGCCTCCAGCTTGTAACCTTCCTGCTCAGCTTTGTCCACCATTCCCAGGCTGCAGAGGGCCCCAGCAGCTTCTGTGGGCCCATCCTGCCCATCCGTTCCACCACTCAAGAAAACGACCTCATGTTTCTCAAGAAAGCTGCCATCTGAAGTGGATTTCACCCTATGCAGCTCCAAGGCCACTCGCAGAGCTAATTCCTGATTCCTTCCCCCCTTCCCATTTCCCTGAAGCTGCACAGTGGTTTCTCCACCTGCCAAAAGACAAATGGGGTTTTCACCTTGCAATTCTTGCAAAGGCTTCAAAGCATCTGAGAGGTCCAAGCCTGTGATCTCCAGCTCTGTGGCAAGGTTCAAGACTGCTCCTTTTACCTTGCCCTTCGCCGGGAAATTCCCAGAAATTCTCCTGGTCTCCAAGCAAACAAGCTGAATTAACAGGCTGTAGAAGTGGGCAACGGTGCTGACCTCCCCACACATGGCATCAGTCAGAAGCACAGTCAGATATCCCAGATCTTCTGCCTGCTGTTTGGCCCCCTCTAAAGCTAATCTGTTGGAGCCAATGACAACATTGTAAGCACGGGGGCAGTCTTCGGGCATGCTGTGCTCCACGGCAGAACGGGACAGCACTGTCTGCACAGATTCTGGCAAGTCTTCCAGCATTTTGTATTTTGCCAATATACGAAGGCAGTCCTGGGTACTGCAAGAACTAGCCACAGTGGGGCCACTGGCTATTATATCCAGTGGATTCCCAATGACATCAGAGAGGACAAGGCCTAACACCTACGGGAAAAGAAGGAAGAGGGTGAAAGTAATTCATGCTGCACTATGGCTCACGGATATTCAGCTGTGCTGAATTTGGGCAGCAATTATAACTGCTGCCCAACTGTGCAGTCACAGGTGTTGATCACCAAGGACTGCAAGATGAAGGGGTGGCTTGCACGGGGGAAAGGGCCCCCAGTGAGCAGGCATTACAGAGAGTACTTCCTCATCCCTTCACATGAGCTCAGAAATAAGGGATTTCATTGGAGGCTCTTTTAACATAATCTTGAAGGCTCCAGTCCTTAAAAATGCTGTTAAGAGGAAAGCTCTTGAACTCAGTCAATTTAATTCTGGTTAGGGTTGCAATATTTACGAGGCTAACACAGCCTTCTCCAACCTGGTGCCCTGCAGAACTGAACTACTGGAAGCTACAGTTCAAATGCTGGAGGCTACAGTTCGGAACATCTGGAGAACATCAGGTCAGGCAAGGTTACATTAATGCGTACTTGCATAACCTGCAGGTAGCAAGCAATTCTCATTTTCTCTCAGTGGGAAGAAGGCTTCTTACACACAGATGCTCATTATAAACACCTGTACATTGACTTAAAATGAGGTAACCTTCAGAGCCATTTCTCCCCATGTGCCAAATAGATTTACTCATTAAGACATGTAAAATTAAAACAATTTACATCAACTAAAATATAAGAAATCTTAGGGCAAAATCCTGTGTACGTCTAGCTAGAAAAAGGTCTCACAGTTCCCCACATCCCCCAACTACCATGGGGCTGTACCATTTTTTTCTGTCCAAACTTGCATTGATCTGCACCATGATTGGTCAATTGTACAACTTAGGATCAGGCACCTGTGATTCTATGAAAACTAATTGAACACAAAGAGGGAGAGATTTCAGATATATGAAAGGTTCTTGATCTGGGTTCTAAGTAAGGTATCCATACTTAATGCTAAGTTTACACCATTCACATTCATTTCTCCTTCATGTCTTTTGCAAAAGTAGAATGACAGAGTCATGGCTTTAAATGACGTATTCCTGCTGCAGAAAATGGTATATCACCAGTGTATGGGCATCCATCATGTTTGCCCTATAAGGTACGGATTCATGTTTAATCCCTTTCCCTTGAACTCTGACAGAACTGGTCTCAGCCCTTCACTTTCCTGAGAAACAGCTCATCGATCCCAGTCAATGATTTTTTTTAAAATGGATTTCTTAACATCCATGCAGGTATATGAAAACAACAAATGGGAAAAACAAATTGTGTAAAATGTGAAGCATCTGTGCCTATTGCTTAATCAATTTCTAGAATCCATTATTGCTCAATAAATCTGGGTTTTTTAATTGCATACTCTGGGATTCTTCGCACAGGATTTTTGTTTCCCTGCTGAAGCAGCCTGTGCAGTTCAAGAGACTGGATTCAATTGCTTTCATTTTTGACAAAGCAACTTTCTGAGCCTTCAGAAGAAAACCGCACGAGAATGTCTGTGGGAGGCTTTGGAACTCAACGCCAAGGCAGGACTCCCACTGGCTTGCAGAGGAGCATGCGTCTGTACCTTGCTTGCCTCCCTCCGCAGCCCGCCGGGCCTTCCATCGCCACAGTGAGTTCTCCTCCCTGCTCTCTTTCACCCTCACCCTTGCAAACAATGAAAAACAGCCCCATGTTGCAATGATTTGTCATCAGAATAATGCTCTGGTAGCTGTTGCATAATGCATGGCTGTGTAAAGTGCGGATTATTGTCATCCACACTGTGCGCACAGTGCAATCTGGAGGTGGAAGATGTTTCAGGAGTGTGAAGCAGATGCTGGTCAGCTTTCAAGTCAGGAACAACTGCCTCTCTCCATTCCTCAGATCACTTACAAGGACTTCAGCACTGGTAAAGTGGACCTGTACTCATGGAGCCCAGTCCAGCCCTTCTACACCTCACTCTATTTCCATTTCACCCACGCTCGTTAGCAATGCCAATTAGACCTGGTTAGCCTCAGCAGTCCTTGAAGAACACTGGCCGCATGAGTGGGTGAAGACCGCCTTTCCGACCCACCTGTGCAGGATAGGCTGCTCGTGCCAGACCCCCGCCTTTTAACAAGGAGAGCGCCTTGCGGACGGTGTTCAGCTCTTGGATGGTGGCTCCTTTTGAAGCAAGTAGCCGGGTGATGGTTCCCTTCTCTTCAAGGGTGACTGGAGGGATTGGTGCGGGCAGAAGTGCCGATCCCCCTCCTAAAACACAGGAGAACATTGTGGGCACATTTTTCTGCTTTCCCACAGCCCCAAGGGAAGCCCATCACATCATGTCGTCAAGATACCTGTTCTGAGGCCTTGTTCCTTCCCCTTGCAATGGAAGACTATTTTGTCCTGGTTTTTTTCAGCTGCATGCAGTTTCTCAGAATGACAACTGGGGATGTTTCCACACCGAAGAGTGAGATTCACACACAAATTCCCTCCAAATGCCCTTGCCTATTTCTCCCTAACATACATCACTGGCAGTGACTTGCTACAGTCCTGGACCGAAAAAAGCACACCCAGTTACACAAGCGTCTAATATGGAAACTGTAGATGTCAAGGAAGCAGGTTCATACATTACAGTGCACTGAATAAGAGTATGCATGAGTGTCAGACAGTCAGCTTTAAAGTATGGGACCGAAAATGATGGTGACGGCATTCTAGTCTGAAGAACAGAGGACTATACGCGATGATTCATGATTTACAGACATCTGCAGAAAGGTGGTCCGGGGAGACATATGGTATACGGAAAAGGCAGTGAAGAAAAAGACGTGAACAAGACACAAAATTGCTGCTTTCAGGGATAAGGAAGAGACACAGACAACCTGGAAATGAATGGAAAAAGAAAAAGAGTGTGAGCGAATCCTGGTATAATGAGGGGGGAAACTGACAGAAATCAAGGATCAAAAAGCTGAGATGGTTAAAAAAAGTGATGATACCAGCAACTGTAAAATCTTCAGCTGATAGCACAGTGATAGACATCTTAGCATTTATAGCAAAACCAGAAAAAGGCACCTTTCCACTCCAGATGAAACAGAAATATGGTGCTATTTAAGGACTTAACTATACGCAAAGCCTGCTATTTATTTATAAAGCTTTTTCTGACCAATGGACCCGTATCTGGGGCTGTCCAGCTCTATTGGGCAAAAAAATACAAAAGTAAGTAAATAAAGGCACCTGCTGGAGTACAGAATAAGACAAGACATTATAAGGGTCTGGACATCATGCAGAAGAATTTGGGGAAGAGGGAGTGCCTCAGCTGACCTTCCCAGAGGAAGGAATAGTCCTAGAATGGCCAGACCTATTTTAGAGAGGATCAGCATTCTGCAAAAATGAAATATCGAATCATGCTTTGCATTCCTGCTTTGCGTCTGCTGTTCTCGGAAGCGAAAGTCAAGGGAAGGGCTGAGGTTGGCCAAATCACAGAGGGCAGATGTGTTCAAGGATACTGGTGTATTAAATCGCTGGTGGGAACACTGGTGTAACTCTGTGGCTGATCAGGGTGGTAGGAGCTTCCACAACTCCAGTCCATGTTGGAGCTACACACACCACCATCGCTCTGCTGTCACTGCAGCCCCTTCTTCTTCTGACCCTGAAAACCAAGGAAGCCACAGCAGCTTTGAGTTTGATGCCAATCAGAGCAGGATTGGGGAGAACTGGGTTCAAATTGCTACTCGGCTATGCAGCTTACCTGAGGGGCTTAGGTCAGTCATTCACCTTTCAACTTAACCTGCCACCTAGGTTTATGGAAAAGAAAAAAATGCAAGGGGAACAGGAAGAACTGCCTATGCCACCCTGAACTTCTTGGAGGAAAGTTGGAAGCAACATTAAAGAAAACAAGCAAATTCACTAACAAGCTTGCAAGCTACCATTTTGTTCTCCGTGCCACTAACTAGGAGGGGCGATGTTCGCCTAAGGAGATAAGGCTAGATCAAACAAGGTTCAGGGCTGATTTAGCAAAGAATAAAGAACAGAAAAATAAAGGGCAGAGAAGAAAGATCTAAAACATGGTTGTTAAAAGTAAGGCCTGGGGGGCTTATTAGGCACTCTACAGTCTCCAACGCAGCCTGTGGTATCCTTACCAAACTTCACACAAATTATTCCACCAAGACTCCAGGGCTGGGGAGCAACATCTTTATTAATGCACATGGTTGCTATTCGTATGCCCTTAGCAGCAATTTCTCCCACTGTTTCCCCCATCCCATTAAATTAGCAACTCAGAAGTTAAGGAGTCCGGAGGCTTTCTCCAGTGCAGTAATGGAGGGAAAGAAGAACCAAGTGCAGAACTTACATCTTGCTAACATTTGCAGTCAAAACAGAAAGACGTGGGACAGGTGTTGGTGCATGAAGGGAAAGCTGCAGAGAGAGAGCGAGAGAGAGAGGTGGCAAGAGGAATAGTGAGTCGGGCAGGGTGGCAGAAGTGAGGACCTGCCTGGCAGAGCTGGGAACTTCACATTGCTCAGGTCTGGATTCCAACTGAGAGCACTTCCAGTAAAGCTATTTTGATATGTAAGATGGGACAGGTGTCACAGCAGGACAAGACAGCAAAGGCCAACCACTGCAACTATTGCCACCCATCCAAATTATTTTTGATCAACAGTTTTGCGTATGGCTCCAAAGAATCTGCTGGATGGGCGGGGTGGGGGGTGACACTGTTAAGTTTGCCACACTGAACTAGAGAAAAGATCAGAATTCCAAGAAAGAGAGAGATGTGTGTGAACACATTTTTCAGTCTTTACCATTTTATTGACCTAATTCATAATGAGAAAGACTTTAAAAAAACAATGCCAGCCTAAGCAAAATACAGAAAGGAAATGAACTGACACTAAAAGCTTACGGCAAGTGACACAGATAGACGTTAAAGACGGAGCCAAGAAAAGAAAGAAAAATAGCTCAAGCACCAGGCATTTCTTCAGCCTGAGCGACGCGTATGTGCGATCACAAGTGACAGGATGACCACGAAGCTATGCTCAAAAGTGTGAAAAGAGGAGAGGGAGAAGCTGCGCAGGTGTCAGATCAAAAGCTACCATTTAATGATAAATGCTCTGAGTTTTGAGGCACACTATGTGTAAAATACCACAAACCAGAAATACACACATTTCATCAATCACTAGGAATCCAGCTGAGAGACACCAGTAGCCAGAAAAGGAGTTCTCTCATATGTGAGAGCCAGTGTAGCACAGCGGTAAGAGTGCTGGCCCAGAACTTGCAAGATACGGACTCTAGTCCCCTCTCGGCTGTGAAGCTCATTGTGTGACTTTGGGCCAGTCACTGCCTTTCAGCCCAACCTTCCTCACAGGCTTGTTGTTGTGAAGATAACATGGAGTGGAAGAGACCCTTGCAAGTCACCTTGGGTTCCTTGCAAGAGGAAGAAAGGTGGGATATAAATGTGATGCATGCAATAATATGTGAAGTTTTGAACTGGCTCTCAAAAGAGAACAGGCAACAGCATATTTTAAAGGGGCTGGAAATCTTTTCAATAGGGGGAAAAAACAGCTAAGTAGCAAGAGCAAGCTGAAAAGATTTCCCATCAAAGGGCATTTTCATCTGGATAGATCTATCCTTGGCTAACACCAGAGAATTCTCTCCCCAGTCTGGAAGGGAGCTTGGATTCTATGAAGCCGAGTGGCACAGCTGCCAGGGAATCTTCATTAAGAAGACACTGGACTTGAGAGAATACTTAATAATCTTAAAGAGCAGCTGTTGGAGATCTGGCTAGGAAAGACTGAGATACAGAATGCTCACAGACTAAGTAATGCTGTGTGATAGGCCTCCATATTTGGAGCAAGTATTTTCTAGGATATTGCACCAAATTTAATATTGTGCCAAATTTAACGGAAATATTTTCTGCATGAAATGAAGTAAGTGGCTGCTTGTTCTACCCATATTTGTCCCTGCTGCTATCCTTGTCCATCCATCTCTGTACCATGTACTGGTTCTCTGCTATAACACCTCTGTCAACAGTGGCACAAGGTTCAGGGTGTGATTGTACTGCTAGCACAATACCCCTAGGCAAAGCTGCAGCATCAATGCACTGATACACAAAAGCAGCAGTCCAAAAATCTGTAAATAAAGAGCTCCAGCATCACTAAAACCCCTCGACCAAAAAAAAGAAAAAAAAAGTTTTGCACCCCCCCCAAAAAAAAAAAAAAAATCAGCCCACCCCATTTAATTCCTTCCCAGCCCTCTCAAAGGAAACTAAAAATATGCATCTTAGATCCAGCCTTACATAGACTCAGTCCCCACCTCCTATTCCACCATCCCCAGCATTTCGAAGGACACTATTCTATTTTCTGATTCAGGGCTGCCACCCTCTGGAGAAAAAGTGCCTTGCTGCTTCATAGGCATTCAAGTGCTCTGAAAAGCAAAAGCACATGCAGTGCTTTGTGAGCCTGTGGAAGCTGCAATGCAAGAACAGAAACAGGGAGATTAATCTGGAGAAGCCTAGAGCTGTGGAATATCTGTCTGGAGATTAAGTACAAGTGAGATCTGCAGATCTCAAACTACAAGAAAGTGAGGTAGGAAAACTGAGAGAAAAGGGAAACAACCTTGTACAACCCGACACCCATCAGATGTATTGGACTACAACTCCCATCACACACAGTAGCCAATGGTCATCTGGGAGCCACCAGTTTTGGGAGGACTGGACTAATTTTACATGGCAAAATCTATTTCAGCAAGCGAATTAAATTTTTTGAGGTGGGCATACTAAACTTAGTATAGCGTATTCCATTTCCTTTCATGTCAGTAGACATCACCATATAGAAGGATCCCCAAAATGCATCCCTTCCCTGCGTGGAAGAACAACAGAAACAGAGATGCGGGGACAGGCAGGCTACCTGGGCCTGTGCTGACATCATTCCCGAAACAAGCGGTGGCCGGGAGCGCAACCAGCCCTGCCCTTGCCCTGCTGCTAGAAGAGCCCTTTTGCACACCGCCACGCTGAAGCTGCCACCCACGTGCCAGTCGCACGGGGAACGACCCTGAGCCACTCCATGCGCCACTTCTGCTTTCATTGCAACACACAACTTGACCTAGTTTGCCAGGCATGTTTGTGGAGTGGCGTGAGCAGGCGGATATGTAAACCAGATTAGAAAACGGGGAAGAAGGATGACCAGAATGCAAAAGGAAGAAGGGAAGGCAGGGCATTTCTTGAGCAAACCCAGCCCCCTGTCCTGGGATCCCAGGCATTACCTGAGATCAGCACCAGCAGAAGGTCATCTGCTGTCAGGCCCTCGGCCAGCTCCCGGATGGTGCTGGCCGCTTTCAGAGCTTCTTGGTCTGGAAGATTGTGCTTAGCGCCTTCCATGACCTGGATGCGGCTCCGGGGCTTCAATAACATCTCTCTGCATGGTTGGAAAGGACAAAGGGGTTATCTCCTGAACCACACTTAGCTCTACCCTTAAACTTCCTTATGAATGATGACAAACAAGATAGGAGACTGCAAATACCACTGGCTGCCCCAGCACTTGCTTAATAAGGAGGCACCTGTTCCAGTAACTTTTACAGATTAATGCTGCATTGCTCAGTAGGCTGACAGATACTCAGCTTGGGGGCCAGACACAATCCCTTTCCTCAAGAATTGGTCAACCTTTATGAATGGAAACATTGCTGAACAACAACAATTAAAGCAACGTAAAATCATTAACTTCAGACCCAAGACATGTATGCACACGCACATGTGCGCACGCACGCACGCACAGAGAGAGAGAGAGAGAGAGAGAGAGATATCCTGGAATTATCATTCTGTATACTAGGAAAAAGAACTCAAGGGGGCATTTTCAATCATGCAATTGATGCATGCATTTGTCTTCTTCACTGAAATAAGCAAACACATTTATTTACATGAAGAAATGTTATATAACATTCATTTCAATAGTAAAGAATTGCAATTAAAGGAACTAGGCATTTCAAATTTAACCAAAGTTCAGAATGAGACAGGAATTCTTTTACAAATTCCTGCTCACCATAAACTCTGGAGCAGCCAATGCTGCCTCCTGTCTCTGGTTCAAAGAAAATGGACAACAGCAGACTGTGGATTGTAACAAGCTGGGCCAATCCCACGCAGAGAGAGGTTTAGCCCCGCATTGATGACTCGTGTTGTGGTACTTGTTTGTGTGTCATCGCTAGAAGATCATGAAGGCACTATTCTTCCTGTTTCCCCTGCATTTCCCTGGCCGAGAGAGTTGTGCACGAGGCCAGACGCTTCTGCCCCATGCCAGAAGTTCCCCTGCATGAGGCTCTCTCCATGGTTTCCCTTTGGGCAAGCAGTGCTGTTTCTACCTCTGCTCAGAAGCAGAGCGGGCCTCTCCCCACGTCCTCTGGTTGCCTGGTTGTGCTTGGTCTTTACAAAAAGGAGCCAGACCAGCTGGGCGCCAAGCATCCTGCAGTGCCAGCTCACTGGACAGACCAAGGCACAACAGACTTCTCTAAGCCAAAGCCTTCTTTCATCCAGGACCCTGAAGCTCCTTTTCATTCTCCAACTTTCCCATGTGAATAGACACAAGCGCTGGGGGAAAGCAAGAGTCCCGGAGGGCAGCCTGGTCAAGGGTGTTCCTGACTCACGTCTATTGTATTCTAGAAACAGCAGGCTTAATTAAAAATACTCCCAAACAAATTTTATGCTCTTCTCTCCATAAGGATTTGAGATGATAAGAAGCAAGGCTCATGCCTTACAATAATTAGGTAGACCAGGCCTCTCCAGTTATTTGCCAAAAGGGTTTCCAGGCCTTTAGCATCTCTCCTGTGCTTCCCCCTCCCATTCTTCCCCAGTCTGCACACAAGTCTGATGTCTCCTTAAAGCAGCAGGTCAAATTAAACTGTATGAGTTTCACAGGCAGAGTTTATATAAAGCAGGTTAGCAAATCCTAAATCCCAGAGCAGAGTGAACACAAACAGAATTAAATCTGCATTTTGTTTTTGCCAAATATAAACTGAAGACTAGCAGAATTAAAAGGGCACAAGGGTGGGGCGTGGTGTACACTCAGTCCACTGAGGGGGGTTCCTGCAGTGGGGAGCAGTCTCTCCCACACTTTGTATGTTAAAAATGCCCTGGCAGCACAGGATCAAGAACAAGATTCAAGCCAAAAAGACACAGAAGATCTCAAAATAAGGGTCTAAAGAGGGGTGCTGGGGTGGGGGAATGTGAGGTTGCTCTTCAAGCCATTCATTCATTCATTCTCTATCATGGCCTGGCTTCCTTACCTCATCCCTGTGTGCCGTAGAGTGTCCTGGATACCTTGAGGAACACTTACTACTCCTCGGACGAGGTAGTCTCCCAGGATGTCTTCTGCCACAGCTGCCATGCCCAGAACAGCCTTGCCAAAGCCAACCAGATACAAGTTCCCCTTGATTTCAAAAGGCCGGCCCTGCACTATGAGCCTGGGGCTCCCAGCGGTCTCCAGTATCAGGGCTCTTCTCAGCATGGGCCCTGGCAGGACTGTGCCAACAGCACTGCGGAAGCACTGGAGCCCGTGCTCCTTGAGGGCCATGTTGGGAGAAGGTGCTTCACCGGCAGCGTGAGAGGAGGCCCACCAGCAGGCTCGGTGGACGCAAAGCAAGCGTTTCAAGGCAGAGACCATGGCCCGAGCTCTTATCTGACCACGGTGCACCTACAACACAGGATGGGAAAAAGCAATCCTTTGGAGTCACGCTCAGAAATAAGGGGTGAGAAAGCGAGGGGGACATTACAGAGGGGTTCTTCCCATTCCCTGCATACCTGTCTCCCAGGAACTTTGCCTGCCACCCCGTCTCAGCATCTGGCCACTGCAGTACGGGCTTGTTGCTCTCCTGGGGAAGTCTCGAGGTCTGAGCAGCCAATTGGACAGATCAAATGAAGAGGCTAATGATTTACAGACCAGGGCTTGCCTGCTAGCAAATCATTTGCCTTCCATTAGGGAATGAAGACAAATAAGTAGCTGCAAATCAAGCAAAACTACCTTCACACAGCACCACACATCAAAGTGCCTTCTTCCCTGTCTTCTCTCACCTCACACTCTTACTAGGAACAGTCCCTTAGTCCAACACTAGGGTGTGGTATACAAATCCATGTTTTCTTTCCCAAATCCCTGTGGCAGAATAAAATTGTTTTTGCTGCAAGCTAAAGCTTTGTTGATGTTCTCGAGCTACTTTCCCCCATTACTCTAGAACTAAGCGTAACATGCCATGGGCACACAATGTCTTTCCCCAAGATCTTGGCATCTCCGCATCCATCAGCTACACGTGCAAGTTCCTGCGTAGATCTGAGTGAGGAGAGAGCGTAACTTCTCATAGCAGCAGCAACCGTTCTCTCTGATTTGGCTTCCGCTTTACCTTCTTTAACAACTAGAGAGTCACTGCAGCAAGTACAATGGTGCACAGCACTAAATTTAAGCCTTCTTGGAGCAGAATTTTGTCTTTTGGGGAAGGACTAAGGCCAGCCCAAGTTTCTTGCTTTCCCGGTTGCTCATTTTTAACTTTGAAGGTTCCATTTCAAAAGGGGTTCAAAAGCACTCGTTAATCTTTGCAAAGATCTGCCAAGAATTGTTTCTTCGTGACAGGATTGTTCAGGGATTGTGAATGGCTTAGATTAATCTCTTTTAAATGAAAACTTCATAAGCTGCCATTAATGAAGACTGGCCCTAATCTGCATATTAATTTGCATAAATCACTATGATATGATCCTCTTCTGAAAGTTCCTTGTGAATCTGCCTTGAATTCCAATTTCTGAAATGGTGCCTAGTTTCTTATTAAATTCAGTGGGTGGTGCATGTGTATGCAGGTATGGAAAGAAGACATTATAAATAACCAGAATGATACAAGCATATATTAACCAACTACACTCACTATACCTGCAATAATAGAGAGAAGATCAGTGAAACGAGAAATCAAGAAAATAAGAAATACGATAAGGAAAAGGATTTAGTCAACACTATCTCCAAAACCACATTTTAGCCCACTCTACAATCATACCACCAGAACACTATTCTTCATAATAGGGGTACAGAATCTTTTCTATGAAAGCATGCTTCCCTCATGGGAAAAGTCCATTGGGCCAGAACCAACTGGGGGTGGTAACAGAGCCCATGAGGAGCAGAACCAGAGCCAAAAGTGAGTTTATGATGTGATGCCCCCTTTCCCCTTTTACACGCCATCTCCCTTGCCTGCTTTTGATGGATTCTCATTTTGGCTTGTTTCTTGACTTGCAATATTCAATTTGCTCTTCAACCCATGTCTTTTGGACATATCTTACAGGCCCCTCCTCCAAGCATGTTACAGAACATGGCAGAGGATGCTTCTCCTCACTATGGAAGTTGTGCTACACTGTCTTTTCCGGAGGTAGAGTCTGGCAACCTTTGGGCCAAAGTGTACTCAATGACAGCACCACATGTGTGGGGCATGACAGCCCCAACCTGTCCCCCGCTCAAAAAGTATTCATTTTAAGAAGAGCCCATAGTGTTCATATTTTGCTAAAGCGCGCACATCATTATAGTTTAATCTTGCTTTTATTGTTGGACTTTTAACTGGTATACTGGTTACTCTAACATTTTGTGTTGCTGTGCATTGAGTTGTATAACTTTGTTAAAATGCAATTTATAAATACACAAAAATGTACCCTGCGGAATTTCCTCCCAAGAGATGCATAGCTGACTCCCTCTGAGTCTGTTTTAAAGAGGACATTAAAAATATTCTCTTTGAGCTTTGAAAGGAAAGCATTTTATTCTAGTTGCTGCTGCTACATATTTGAACTGAATTACATGGAACTTTAAGTAGTTGACTTTAAAATTGTTTAAGATGGCATTATAATTTATTAATATTGAATGTTGTAATTTTATACTCTAAGCCATCTTGTGAAAATTATACAGTTGTATCCAGGGTAGTAAGAGCAGATCCACTCAGGTGAATGTTAGTTAAGTTAGGCTAATTTTGCATACAGTCCCCAGTCTATCCTATGCAGATTTAGGCAGATGAATGTTCTACAAGTCCCAGCAATCTCAACCAGCTGCCTACTCAGAAATTCTTAACAAGTACTGTTGTTTTAACTGGGACATTTCCTAGTAAATGCCCTTGGGAAACAGGGAACCAGTCTCTTTTTAAAAGAGAAAACTTTAAGGGCCTCCAAAACGTATTGTGATTGCAGGCTGCCGTCCAGTTGCCTACAATGACTGCCTACTAGGTTTGCTCAGGAGTTTTTGGTAAGGGAATCTGTCAAAAGCTTTTTGAAAATCTGCATAAACAGCTGTATGGGATCAATAATTGGAAGGCCTGCTGTGAGAAATCTGTAGTTTAAACAAGAGCCTCGGTTAAAAAAATAAACCATTTGCAGCTACTGCAAACTGCTTACCTCATTCCTGAGATAATAACACACTTCTGAAGATTTGGGGCTTTTGCAGGGGGGAATGTTCTGCACTCCCTTATGTTCTTCATTGCCACCATCTTTGGGCACTTTCTAGAATTTAGGGTGACCTATATAAAGCCATAGCTTGTTTGCCTGCACCTTGTCTTTTCTCTTGGGGCAAGGAACAGGCATGTATCCAAGCCAACAGTGATGAGAGGTGTGTGAGCTTATCTTTGCTTGTTTGCTTTTGATTTGCATCCACTTTCTATGACTTGTACAGTATCTTCTCACACAAGTAGTAGTTTCGTTTCTCTTCGATTATGGTCAAATATGATTTGATGTCGGCTTGGCTGGACAAGGCTTCTGAAATAAGACAATGATGTTGGCTGGATTGCTCTCAGTCACACATGATGACACTTGCAAATGGTCTGAGGAGTACAGCAGCTTCTCAAGATAGGGAAGAGGGGGGAATCACCCAATGAACTGACTAGCAGTGGATTTAAGCCTGAAGCAAGACAGGTCTTTTTCAAACAACACTTACCTTTCCAAGGGTGTAATCCTATCCACACACAGAAAGAAAAATGTACTGAAATTCTCAGCATTCCTTTATGACGTAAACAAAATGTTTGTGCATCAGGGTTAGTCACAGTGATTGACTGGTCTGTGACAGAATTCTGAAGTCTGGGGCAGATATTCTAGTAGCTACTGCTCATCTAGAGTGTTTCTACATAAATCATTCCGCTTCTTAAGGTAGAAGTAATTTATAATTTGTTAGTCTTAAGGTATCATGCCAAAGCTATTTGTGGAAGGGGGGCTGGAGACCAAAAAGTCCTTTGTATAATAAATGAATAGATAGCATTATGACAATAAGAAAGTTAATTCTAACTGAAAATGTAGTTAAAAAAATCTTGATTCATTTTACTTGACTCTGATCCATCATTTTGCTAAGTTCAACTTTGCTCTAGTAAATGCTTGTGTTTTCACCTCTAGTTCCTTAGCTTTCTAAAACCTTTCGTTTCCTTTATTACATTTCTATACCACCGAGCAGCCCAAGCAGTCTAGGCAGTTTACAAAGACTACTTTATTTAGTATCTGTTTTTAGACTGGACTATTGGCTTGCTGCTGGTTTATTGATTTATTGGTTATTGCTATTGATTATATTGTGTTTATTTTCCTCTTGTTTCCTGTTTATATGGTTGTATTTATATTGTATTTTAATTTTACTATATTTTATGGTTTGTTATTGTAATTTATTTTTATCTGTGCATATGTATATTGCACTGTGAGCTACCCAGAGAGCCTTTGCTTATGGGGCGGCATACAAATGTGATAAAATTACAAAAGTATAAAAATACATTATAAAAACCAGATGAACAAATACACAAGCATACCACAGAAACACACATATATCTAAAAATACCTATAGCTGGCACAAAGGTTTAAGGTGCTGCTCACCTGTATTCTGTATCTCTCTAGAAAGAGAAATAACAATGTTTTGGTAAGAGTGGAGTGAATAGAAAAACTAGTTAGGATGCAATCCACTGGCATCCCAACATTGCTTAGACAGGCACAGAAATCCCAATTCTAACCTCAGAAATGCCTGGGATTCCAGCCTTGGAGGGTCTCCCCTCATTTTTTCCACTCCAGTTGAGCTCTCATCAGGAAGGCCATCTTCAGGGGTGGCAAGAAGGGAAGGAGTGAGGTGCCACCAACCTCTTAGAAAGTGGGGTGGTGCCTCAGCATCTCTTTCCCACAAGAAGGTGAAAAACATTGGCCAAAATCAGCAGTCTAAAGGTTTTAGAAAGCAAGGGGAGTGAGGAGGCCATCTTAACTTTCTGCCTTTCATTCAGTGCTTGTAATCCTCCTGAGAAGGTTACAGGCAGCCACATGGGGTACTGACCCCAGAGTCTTATCAACATTATAAAATCTTGTAAGGAATGAAATCCAAACAGTGACGATATGGGATGCAAAGTACCAAGCAGTAATAGTTTAATATGTTCTTGCAAGAGCAGGCACCCACCACACAGGTAGTGCGCCTTTTTCACAAAAGGCATCGCCTTTTATTCCCTTTTCCCGGCTTCCAGACCCTGCCTCTTTTCTCCCACTGGCTGGGTTACTAAAGAGTTCACAATCTAGTCAGACTAGATGGCCCGAGGTCAGACTAGATGGCCCGGGAGGCCCCTTCTGACGCGCTCTGTTTCTATGTTTCTCCATCCGCCTACATCGTACTTCTTGATATGTTCCCCCTCCCGCTCAAACATCCCATGTTCATGCTAATGAGTCCATTACCTATGAGAGGTGTGTCAGTTATTATTCATTAACCTATTAAGTGTGCGCACTACCTTCTAAGAGTTCAACAGGTCTGCTTGGCCTTGTAACCTCTCACTTGATGCCCACTTATTTCCTAAATCTTGTGGGAGGATGAGATTGGACGAACAGGCCTTCCTCCAGGCTCATTACAGCCAGTTGTAAAAGGCAATCAATTTCCTGCTCTCTTCCACTGAAGTTTTACCACTGCCCCCCAATTTTACCCTCTCTGGTATTTTTCAGGACTTTGATGTAAGAAGCACTATTACTTTTATTACAACTATCTACATGGTTCTATCTTCAGGCCCTTTGGCCTTAAGAGGTCACAATGATCCTACCCTAGCCCTTTATTTCACCTTTCTTCAGTTTTCATCTTCCCACTTAGTAACAGTAATTTTTCATTTCTCACAATCTTATAAACATTTAGGCAGACAAAAATCCTACAGCCCCCAGAATGACTGGCTGGGGAACACTGGAGGGCAATTTTATTTCTAAAAACATATAAAACTGCTATACTGCCTGAGACATGCTAAGAGTTGGCGGGGGGGGGGGGGTCTGTCTAAACCTGCGCAGAATTGTACCTTTAGTTAGTGAAAATCATTAGGAAAATGATCGAAGGCAATGGAAGACACTGAAAAGACACATCCAGGGAAGCTAAAGGTGTGATCCTATGCAAGTTTGGTCAGAAAAAAGCCTCCAGCTCCCAGCATCTGTTTCACTCATTTTGTCCTGCCACATCCCTTGGGCAGCTATGAATGCTGATAAGCTGTAGGATTTATTTCTATATAAACATGCATAAGGATGTTATTTATTTGCTATACTTATATCCCACCTTTTTTCCTTCCAAGGAACTCAAGGCACCTTATCCTCACAACCACCACCCTGTGAGGTTGGTTGGCCTGAGAGTCTGTGACTGACCCAAAGTCACCTAGTTGGCTTCATGGCTGAATGGGGACCAGAACCCAGATCATCTGAGTCCCAGCCTGGCATTCTTAGCCACTACACCATAAAAGAAAAGCATAAACTTTAGCATATTTACAACTCTTTGTCTGGGGTCTGCATGGACAAAGAGCATGCATACACAGCGAGGAGTAGGAGATGCATGTACACTGAGGTGTTGGTGTGCTCTGTCAATGACCACAAAAATGTATATGCATGTTTCATATTCCACTATGTAACTCTCTGCTTCCACTTTAGTTAGTATGTGTGCCTTTGAGTTGTCAGAAACCCAGAATCTCAATTTGAGAAGAGGAAATAAAACTCGGGTTCATGGGAAAGACCAAGCATCCAGACCATCTGAGGCTTTATTGTATTTACCCCAAGGTTCCCGCGGTACTCACGATAATGCATGCATTACCAGGCAGGCAGAGGTGAACTCTGCTGCAAAGCTTCAACACATTGCAGGGTATTTTATAGGTACACAGGTACAGGGCAATTGATGACAGAATGCAGAGATTACAATAAGATTCTGAGGTCATCACATACAGAACAGATAAAGGAATGTCAGTCAATCACACAGTAACAATGAGATTGCAACATAGTCTCCAGGTTTGCTTAGACACGTAAATTCAAGCTACTAGAAACTATGCATGAACTCAAGACTCTTATCTACTCTAGACATTCTGAATTGGCCAGGGCACATGGAGCCTCTGGGCTATCAAAAGATACTTCCTTGTAAACTGAATTCCAACAATGACTATTTAATCATTGTGAAGGTATACAATGTAAATTTGGACTAAATGGCCTGTGTACTGTAGCTTACAGCTAAAGGTGAGAGAAAGGGGGGGGGGGGAATGAAGGCCATTTGAAACAGTGACTTAGCTTGGTTTGAGAAGTACAGGATTTGATCCCACAATGCAAAAAGCACACAGAAGTAATATTTTTCAGACAGGATTTATCCAATTTTTCCCAACAGAGTTCACTGCCTTCTTCCCTGTCCAGCAATACAATCACTGCTTTGCTGCTACCATTAGTGATTCAGACCACTTTAGGCTCACTGGAAATTGCTGCAGTAAGCTGCAGAGCAGGGTTACAGGGATTTCTTTGCTAGCATTCCCTTTTCCCTTACTAATCTTTGACTCTGAGAAATAAGGTGCGAGAAATAAAGTGTGGAAAGTGCCTTCACAGCAGCAGATACAAGGGATTCTGCCAAGCCACCTCAAATGGCCTGACAGGCTGCAGTTTTCCACCCATCTACATACTAAAAAGATGTGAAAAAGTCTCTGTAATAGGCAGTCTATGACCAAAAACCCACCACGAAGTCCAATAGAGTATTTAGCACCAAATTGAACGTAATTTCAAACAGTCACAATTACATGTGATAGATTCTTCCAGTTTTCCTAGTACAAAAACAATTACGCTTTTGCGGGGAGAATAACGCAAGAGGAGCCATGCTGAATTTGAGCAAGGGTCCATCTAGTCCAACATTTTCTATCCTGTGAGAAGCCCGCAAGCAGAACGCTGGAGCACCTGAGAGAGGGCGAATGAGAGAAAAGGGAGAGTTCCCTTCATTTCTTTCTTTTTCTTTTTTTAAGACGCGAGACTTGAAGAAGGAAAAACAGAGGGGGGCAAAGCTCTATTCTCCACGGGATTGGCTTATCGCTGGACTGAGACGGACGTTCTTGCTCGACAGCTCGATGGCTCCCCAGGCGAAAAGCCGCTTTCGCTCATGCCAGCGCCAGACCGAGCTGGGTGATTGGAGGACGGCAGCACAAACGAGATACAGATCCTAGAATTCCCACACCCACAATGCACTACTACGGCTTCCCCGCAACAGCCCTACCTACGGCCGCCGAGCCTCATTGTATCCCACAAGCCATTGTTCTTCCTTTCCCTCAGCCTGGCGGGCTCGCTCGCCTCCAGCTTACCCTAGCATCCCACCATGCACTGCGCCGGCAGGGCCGCCGCCGCCGCCGCCGCCGCTCCTTTTTCCTCCCTCGCATTTCCTCCGATGCCCCACAATTCCGCGCGCGCATACCTCTCTCCTCCCCCGTCCTTTTCGCAGGGTTCCCGGAGCCGCAAAATGGTGGACACAATGAAAAGGAGCCGCTTCCTCCGTCCCGCAGCTTGAGTCGAGCCCGCCTGAGGGCGCAGTCGGTCAGCTTGTCCGCCCGGCCAGCCGGCGGGCGTTCCCTTCCCATCGTTCCCGTTTCCTCTCGCAGAAGCAGGCTCTGCCCCTTCCCTCTTCCCCTCGCCGTTCCCGGCGCGCAGGCCCGTCGGCTTCCCTCTGTCTCCTGAGCACGGCGGAGGCGGCATGAAGCTGACGGACAACGTGCTGCGGAGCTTCCGCGTGGCCAAGGTGTTCCGCGAGAACTCGGACAAAATCAACTGCTTCGACTTCAGCCCCAACGGGGAGACCGTCATCTCCAGCAGCGACGACGACTCGATCGTGCTCTACGACTGCCAGGAGGGCAAGTGAGTGCGGGCAGCGGACGGGAAGGTCGGCGCGTGGAGGCCCCCGGGCGGGCGGAAGCCTCTGCGGAACGGGAAGACTCTCTGGTAGCCTTCAGCGGGGACGAGGGGGTTCACTCGAGGAGCAGAGCTGCCTCTTGTCGTAGGATGCAGTGCAGTTCTTTAGAAGAAAAGGGGTTAAGCTTCGATGGGGACGCTGATGTTGGGAGGACTGGGCGCAGGAGTGGGGCTGGGTTAGGAAGGTTTTGAGTACAACTTATTTCTTGCCTTGAAGGAAGGCGGACTATACATTAAAAAGTTTTCAAAGGCACAGGCTTGTTGGTATGTTGTAGTCTTGTGATATTTGAAGGACTAAAATTTATTGTGTTGTGTTTTAAGCTGCAGTGCTGGCCATTCGGACCTAAATCTTATTTTTGCATGTAAAGATGTAAAATACCTGAAACAAATGGGTAGCTGTTGTGTTTAATTTCTGAACTGAATGGATACTAGAGTTTCTTGGATTACAATACCTTTTTGGAACTTGCTTACTCAATTCGATGCCCATCGATTCCAGCCATTCCTGATCATTGCCCATACTGGATGGAGTGGGAGGGATTTGAATTTCAATATGTTTGGATGAACTCAGGCAAAAGAAGGCTGCTTTACACTTTGATAACATGATATTGTTATGGCCTTTCTATCAGATTTCTGTGAGGAGATCTGTTAGTGTTGGTTGGCCTAGGGCAATAGCTGCTCCTCTTTAAGAAAAGGTATTCCCTAGTAGTAAGGGGAAGTTGCCATGACAACGAAGTAGCCAATGGCTTCTTAATTTATGATTTTGGGGAATAGGAAAAAATCAGAGAAAGGTGTGTGTCTTTCTCCTCTGCACCCCCAGTTTAAGAATGTTGTAATCTAGGTGAAAGGAAGCAAAAAGAAGACCACAAAGTAGCTCAGCATAGAGAAAGGCTTGATTTATAAGGTCGCCATAGACTACTATGGCAGGCAGTCACTGTGGTTTAGCATATTTGAAACAAATGAGATTGGCTTGTTGGTGCCAGTGTATGTTGTATCCCAGCTGCAGTGATCATGCAAACCAAAGTGGCATGGAAAGCTGTTACGACTAATGGTTTTAAGGGATGCTGGCTGTCTCCATAGAGATCTGCTTTGGAGGCTGTGCTTAATCTATATGTCTGCCTAACTGCTCGATATTTGTAAGTAAGCTAAATATTATATGACACTAATAGTCTCACTGTAAAGGAAACCAAGCCCTTGGAATCGTTGCACACTTGGAGCCTCTCATCAGTTGGAAGAGGAAAGTTCACATAGTAATATTATCAAGGAAGGTTTCAAGTGTAGGTGTGTAGAAATGTATGTAAACGGAGACTGAGGGAAATACGTTCTGTGGTTTCCAGAAATGGTACCCAGCATAGAATATGCGTGGATCAGCAATGGAACATGAAGTGAATCTAACTGTCACTGGCAGCATATAATACTGTAGATTACTGCTAACTAGCCTCAGTTTCATCACTGGCAAACAAATGAAGCTGAAATTATAGCTGTGATTATCTCAAACACTGATCTGTATTTGTCTTGCCCTGCATCTGGAAGTCAAATGATTTGGTCTTTATAAGTATTTTTGTACATGGAATTTGTGGCTGCTGCTAGCAGATTTGAATGAAATAAACTACAGCATAAGATACTTCTGTTTTTGTTCAAATTGTTTTGTTAATCTAGAAATCATTTTTCTCTGAAGCATTTTCTTGATATCAAGTGTGAAGCCAAGAACAGTGAGACAATATGAATGATTACCAAATCTTACGGAATGTGATATTTTCAGCATCGTGCCTATAACAGACTTTCCTTTAGCTTGTGGGCTTAGTCTGGTACACTAAATCTTCCTGAACATAGTTTACTTAAATAGCGTGCAAATAAGTGTTGTTTAGAACTTAGTAACTTTCCTTTTGGGGAGGCTTTTTGTTCTGTGTGGATTGTTGTTGTTTTGGCATATTAATTCAAGTCTTGTGGACCCAGAGCAAAGCTTGGGTGTGTTCTCTGCACCACATGTGCATGCACATTGTGTTGGGAATCCATCATTGTATGTGGTCTATACTTGGCAAAAGGGATTATATGAGTGGATAACTTTCTAGGCAGAATCATACTTGGATTTTATGTTAAGGAGGAGGTGAGTCTTTTCCTGTGCTGTTGTCATGTAGTGTGTAACTTGAAATTTTTTAATTATGTTGTTTCCTGTTGTTTGTTTCCTGTTGTAATATCACCAATATAGAAGATCGTATCTATGAGAGCAGTGTTTTTCTTTCCACATTTGTCATGTAGTCTTAGCAACTGGATTTTAAACATGAAGTTCATATTCTTTTAGCTTCTAATTGACATGCTAGATGAGAAATGGCCAGACATTATCATTTTGCCTTGGTTTCACATTGACTTTGAAATAACTTTTTTAAGTTATGAGAAGAAACTAAATTGCTAATACTTAATAATTGTGCTTAATTGCTAATACTTATGAGGTAGGTCTCCAATCCCTAATAACTATTTAGAATAATTAATAATATATAAGTGTCTATTCTTATACAACTGAGGTTATTGGGATACCCTAGATTTGTTCCCATTCTTTGACTATCACAGAAAGCTTGAAAATAATCTTCCTTTTTCATCTGTGTACTAGCCAGCAAGAATTAAGCTGTTTTTGTTGTAATATGTATCTTGCTAAAATTGATTACTGAAATAAAATTGACCAACATTTTGCCCTCTACTCAGTTATAGTGGATAGACATACTGGAATGCATCATGGCCTAAGTTATACACTTAACATGAATTGTCCCAATGAAAAAGTGTGTTCAGGTTTTCATAGATTTTTGCTGTTCAGATATAAAATATTTATTTACTTGCATAATTTATATCCTGCAAGGTGTTCTCAAGGTGGCTGGTCTCCCCTTCTACAATTTATGTTTTATTCATAGTTTTCTATATGTTGTTCATTATGCTTATTTACCCCAAGGTTTGGATTCTGTTTTTGCTTCCCTTTTCATCATAAATTTGTGTATGTATTTACAGTCTTTAATTCAATATAATTTATAGGAAGCAATTCTGGCTTATTTTTATACCCTTGTAACTCTATCATAAGTGTCATCATGCTATCGCAAACAAACACAGTATGTGCTTTTTAATTAGCTGGGTTTTACAAGAACATCCAGAATTAATGTGAATAAAAACTCTTCCTTGTATAGGCTGCATCCTTGTAACACTAAGAAGGAATCCTTTATTTCCAGCTTTTTGAAGAATTTAGGCCAAGAAAGAGCTTTTCTAAAATGTCAGTTTCCTATGGAATCAATCCTATGTAGTGGTTAAGAGTGCAGGGTGGGGACTCAGGCGACCTGGGTTCTAGTCCCCACTCTGTCGTGGGGCCAACTGGGTGACTTTGGACCGGTCAAACACTTGCAGCCCAACCTACCTTACAGGGTTGTTGTTGTGGGAACAAGATTGAGAGCAGGAGGAGGAAAATGATGTAAGCCGCTTTGAGTTCTTCAAAAAAGAAAAAAAGGCAGGATATAAATCTAATAAATAAAAATAAAATAAATAGTGTTCATTCCATCTCTTTTCCCCAAGCAAACAAGTGTCAAATCTGCATAAGTTGCTTAGGTGCTCTCTCACTGCTATTGTGCAGGGTGTTTTTTTGCCACCTGTTACTGGATCACAGCCTTCCTTTAGTGATTCTTGCTCAGACCATCTACTGACATCGTAACATACCGTATTTTTCGCTGTATAAGACGCACCTGACCATAAGACGCACCTAGTTTTTAGAGGAGGAAAACAAGAAAAAAAATGTTCTGAATCAAATGGTTTACTAAACTATTTAATAAACTATAACAGAATTCAGTAATACCGTATTTCAACCTTGTAAAGTGAACAGCAGTCAACAGTGGCATTAAGAACCATCATCACTGTCATTAACAAAAGAGAGACTTTAAAGTTCGAGTACTCTTCTAGTTTTCGTTGAGCCCATAGAACTCATCATCACTAGAGTCAGAATTTATGAAGCTCTGTTGCTCACAATCACTGACATCACTTTCTTAGTCAGTAGTGGAATTATTGAAAGAATCCACAATCTACACCAGTTATACAAGAGCTGCTGCAGACAATTCAATAACAAATCTAAAAAAGCCAGTAATGTCCACGCTGCCCTACTAGTAAATAATAGAAAAAAACTTCCGACAAAAAATGAGATA